CATCTTTGCCACACTTGGCCCACAGTTGGCTGACAAGATGTGGGCCACACACCTCCCATCCACAATCGGCCCAGAAGTTGTCTGCCGTCATGCACACAGTGCCATCATTGCCACACTTGGCCCACAGTTGGCTGACATGATGCATGCCATTGCCGGCAACACGCCAGCAGTGCCATGATGAGGCCACATTTGGGCCAAGTCTGTTTGCTATGTGGGAGGCTGCTGAATAATACAGTACATGTTTAAATGCTTCATGCAGAAGGGCGACCCTGGTGTCCCTTCATCACGAGCCTCCTACAACCACATAATTATAAGTGCCTATCGCAGCAGCTGGGTCCATGATAAAATGTTGTGCAGCATTAAACTGTGAGAAATTGTCTTTCCTGTGGAAAATGTACTTTGGTTTGACATTATCTCTGTATATTTCTACCTATTTGATTTTGCTTACTGTGTTGCGACCATACTCTATACACTGTTTAAAGCACATGAACATTTAATGAAGAAACACTGTTCAGTTTATGATTGCTTCACTGTTGCAAAAAACTGGCCATTTTAATACCGCTTTGTTCCACACTACTGTACAACAGTGGGGTTCAGATGTAAATCCCATTCATTTTCTCCTTAGTGGAATTGATTTTTGAATGACAACTTATGAACCTTTAAAGACAGTCCTACTGTATGGCTGTTAAACAATGGTATAATATTTTCAACAATAATTTTTTTAATCATTTTTAATTTGATTATGTCATTCACAATGCTTCTTTGTACTTCTGTCCCACACTAAAGCCGTTATGCACACAGATTTGTACCTTTGTCTTTTTCTCCGATATTCATGTTGTGATTCACCTCGTAGTTGGTTTGTTTGGTTCATGGCTTAACTCTTAACTCTTTCCCCGCCAGCGTTTTAAAAAAAAGTTGCCAGCCACCGCCAGGGTTTTTGACGATTTTCGCTAAATTTGAATGCCCCCGCTGAATATTTTCTTCCATGAATATATGAAGATGATATATATAAAAATAAAGATCTGAGCCTCTGCTTTTAGGCAAAAAAAACGTTTTTATTTTATCTTCATCTGTTCTTTTTTTATTGCCTCTTGAACAGAGGTAGGTTTTGTCAAAAACACAACATTTTGGACAAAAAACTGAGAAAAAGGTGTTTTTATCAAACAAGTGCATTTAAAAGCAGAATACATTCAGATGTTGTTTCCTTCATATATAAAACTTTCCAAAATAAATTAAAAACATAAAATAAATGTAAAATATATCAAATTTCCCAGGATGTAAGGGAAATGTAACTTTTGCAATAAAACTTCTGCCTCTGCCTCTCTGTGTTCTACCTATGAATAATTGGAATTACAATAAACAGGCCTAGACACACACACACACACACACACACACACACACAAATACATATTACAATGTGGTAAATGTGCACAAAGAGAGAAATAATTTGACAATTACACCTTCATATTTAGACAGCCACACATAAATGCCTGCACACACACATACATAATATAGTGTCATAATATTATACGATCTATCTGCGGCACGTCCATGGCTAGCATGAACATGTGCATCTCTCTCACTGACTACTTCGTCCCGATCAGATTCAGAATTATCAAATAAAGAGTGATCGGACTCCGAGTCCATTAACCTCCAGTACTTCAGCCATATACCTCTGCATTGTCTGTCTGATACATTCTCACTACTCCACTGTTTGAGACGATTGCAATCTGTTTCTCTAAACAAAGAGTTGCGCAATCATTCAGGACATGCGCGCAGGTCTTCCTTACCGTATACCACCTAAAACACGGATACCCGGAAAATTCCGTGTTTGGCGCAGATGCGTTTTTTCATTAAACACGGAAAATTCCGTGTTTGGCGGGGAAAGAGTTAAACTGAGACTTAAAAATCCTATTTATTGGAAAAATAATAATTTAAAGCAGTGCTAAACCCCTTTTTTAAATTGCAAGTGAGTATTGGAAAAATAATAATTTAAAGCAGTGCTAAACCCCTTTTTTAAATTGCAAGTGAGTGTGACACGTTCACCCAAGTTTAAAAGCTGGGTTTAAAAAAAATAAAGCCATGAAAACACCTTTTCACTCTCATATGCATTCAAAACAAAATAGGATATGCACGGAAGAGTACAGTGACTTTGAGTGACTTTTTCAGTTGCTTGCATGGCCATTGTGGAAAATCATTGCAGGTTTCCTCTTGCAGGAGTCTCAAATATCTCCCCATCAGCAAAGATTCCTTCACAGCACATTTGGGTGCTGTTCACTCTGCTGACTTTATGAGGATCAGCAAGCTGACCTTGACATCTGTTTTGTTGTCAGTTTCATTGTCAGAAGTAAAATGGGGCATTTTATGCAATTACTGGATTCATGACTCAGCAAGTACTGAGGAAGATAAGCTTGTCAATAAGCTTTATTGCAAAACTCTCAGATGAAAAAATCTTTGGAAGTGACCACTTATAATTAAAATTGTAAAACGATGATGTAAAATGAACTTTATACTGACAATACTGTTTGTCTTGTTTTTAACAAAACATAGGAATATCATCTACATAGGATTTGCTGATATTTAATACTCAGTCAGACCTTTCCTGTCAGAATATGTGTCACATGGTACTCGGTCAAGGCAAGCACTTGTAAGTTTCAAGATTGGACTATACTGCATTTAGACTGAGCCTTTGCAGATGATCCAGAATGTGGATTCTCGCAAAGTCTTATGTCACACACCAGCTTATCTCACTCCACCGGATCCGAGTTGTGGCCAGAATCAAATTTAAAGTTTTGACTACCACTGGGACAGCTTCTCCCTACCTCAACTCACTACAGTAAATGCATGCAATTGACTAAATGAGCAACACCTTGTTGTTCCCTCACAACAGGGGAACAAGTCACTCTCCAAAGCTTTAACCCTCTCTGTTCCTTCAGTATCTGGTGGAATGAGCTGCCAACCTCCACCTGAACTGCTGAGGACATCACATATTTCAAGAAGCAGCTGAAAGCACCACTTCCACAAACTCTTAACCACCTTTCATGATTTATGGGGACAGACACACTGTTTTTTATACTCTACAAACTGTACATATAACATCACAAAAAAAATTTCTTCGATTTTACTTAAAAAAAAAAACAAAAAAAAAAAAACATCACTCAGTATGATTTATAAGCTGTGTTTTCCCTCATGGGGACCAAACAATATCCTCACAAGGACTAGGATTTCGGATATTGCCATCTTTGTGGGGACATTTTGCCCCCATAATGTAATTTTTCTGCATTTCTTCTCTTCTCAGCTTGTTTCCTAATCAAGTTGTCTAATAAACCTGGTATTGTGTAGCTATTTGATGAATGCTTTGTTCCTCTATTGTAAGTCATTGGATAAATGCTATGTACTGTAAATGTAATAGCCCATGCACATATTTCACAAGTATGACCTTTATTTTATTAGAGACATTTTAACTATTTCAATTAACCTTTTGCTCTTTTTAAACTTTGAGAAGGTACACAATAAGCAACCAGTTTCACAGTTTACTGAGGTCAATAAGTGCTTATTATGGTGTGACAGTCCATAAATACAGCAGAGTAATAAAGGCAAGGCTGCCACTGACTGGTACAAGAGAAAGCTGTTTGCATTCTTATTATCAGACAGTTTCATCAACACCTCAACTGTATCTCGCTCTTTGATAATAGTCTCTTTGCCGGGGAAGAATTCAGTGTGGCACGCAGATCAAAACTATTGAAGATTATTACCTTGTCAAAATGAATAAAAGTCATAATATGCCCTGAACAGATGCGAAATAACTGATTTGAGCAAAATGAAATTCTACAGCACTGTGAGCAACACATGCTTTATGCTTTATTACATGAGTTGAGTTTTAGAATATGCATGTGTTTAACTCTACAAATATAATGTTGTTCTCAAACATCTCTCAACATCTTGGGATTTATAAATTAAGGAAAGGAGCCCCCTGGGTGTCGATTTGTTTAAATAAATCAAAATAAACAGACAAATGCATTTATCAAATATGGCAATTTGCTTAATGGGTTTAGACAGAGCTGGTGTTTCTCTCTTTATTTGGATGCAAATGACTGGCAGCATCATATATTCAGTGTTGCTCCAGGATATGAGCTCAGTCATTTTACAGGAAACTCCTACTCTCTCTGTCGCTTTGTTCTGGAGAGACATGGATACGGTTGATATAAATCACTGAGCACTAATGAATACTTAGCACTGCTTTCAAATCCATTTTATTGTTTACTGCACACACTTTTCACTGGGAAGTATAGTCCTGTCATGATGTGAACTGATTGGAATATACTGTAGCAGTTCTACAGATTATTGAAGCTTGAGTAGCCAACATTTTTCAACATTTTTTCAACATTTTTACATCATTGATTTTGTGATACAACCACTGATCTATATACTGTAGAATGACGTCATTATATAGGGAAACAACTTGTGACTAGTAACTATGAGGGTATATATATATATATATATATATATATATATATATATATATATATATATATAGTTTAAATACAATGAAGACCTGTTTTAAATGTAACTCTCTGTCACTGTATATATAAAACTTCAACAAAAATAGCATTCCATTAATTCATAACCATTTATTCAGTTTAATCCCTCGCCCAAGAACTATATCAGCATCAACTATATTGTGTTCAATGAAATGCATGCTTAAATAGTCTCTATGGAACAACAGTGTCATCTACAGATGAGTTATGTAAGAACATTTTACCTGACAATTTCAAATAAATAAAATATTTCACAGGTTCATCTTGTCATCAGTGTTTACAACATAACTTGTGCATGCATAAAATTAAGAGAAAATTTGATCAAAAATGAGCACAGTCACAGTGACAGAGAGTTATGTTTAAAACAGGTCTTCATTTTATTTTAAAAATTGTGAAACAAAAATCATTTCACGTCTTTGCCTGCAGGGGCGCGCGCTGGTCTCGTGAAAGCGGAAGTTGGTGTGGGCTCATTTGAACACGCGCAAGGCGCAACTTCCTTTCAGTGTGGTTCAAAAAAATATCTGCACTCTTTGCTATCTGGTAAAGTGGGCTAATCTTTTGTCCGAGGCGGCCGTGTTAGTGATTCGGTATGGAAATCCAGAGTAAGTTTTCGTGCTTTACTTAAGTTCTGTGTTTGTATGTGGATGTCTCTAATACGTTTGTAGAAACGTGCGTTGTGTCTGTGATAACATGACCAATAACGTTAGCTAAAGTCATGTGTTTTATAAGCATTAAAACAACTAATGCCATATCTGTATATGCGGGTATTTCACATTTATTGTAAAGTTGCAAACCATTGAAAGTGCCTCTTGGTTGATTTGCGTTTATTTGTTTATGTGCCCGATTTCCGCATTTTGCAGTTGCAAATATGGGTGTTAGATAGTAGCCTAGTTAGCAGCAAGATTTTTAAACTCTTTTTTTTTTTTTTTTAAGTAGACACCAATATTTTATAATGTCTCATAACAGGTATTGAGCCAATGACACTTGGCTCCCCAACCTCCCCCAAGCCTGGTGCTCAATTTTTACCCGGGTTTCTGATGGGAGACCTGCCAGCTCCTGTCACTCCTCAACCTAGGTCTTTTGGGTTGACAGGAGGTGGGGCAGAAACAAGGTCTCCTCTTCTGGCTGGTAAACACCTATTCTTCGTTGTGTTTTGCTAATACCACAAGGAATTCCTTCTCCCATTTTATACCTTACATAGAAGTTACTTGGTAAGAGATTTGATCCTCTCTTCCATCAGGTGGTTCTCCTCCACAGCCAGTGGTCCCAACACCTAAAGACAAGAGTGGAGCCCCTCCAGTCAGAAGCATCTACGATGATCTCAACAGCTCCGGTGTGGGAATGTCACCTCTTGCAGCTCGCAAACAAGTGAGAAGTGCATACAAACTTATAGATTTTAATTAAAGGCTGCAGCACATGTCCTTACAGAAGAACATGGAAAGACGTTCAAATGTACAGTTTTTATCCTACTTGTGTATATTTAAAGGGGTGGTTGTTTATGATTGCACTTTTCTACTTTAGTTAGTGTGCAATCTTGCTGTGTGAGCATTAACAACATCTGCGTTATGACGTTCAAAGCAAAGGGAAATACTTTCTATTAAAGAAAATGCTTTTTAAGTACTACCACAAATGGCTGGTAGGGACTACTACACAACACTCCTCCCAGTTTAGTGACATCACTAACCCTAAAATTGACAAATGACAAATTGACGCGATTTATAGATTACCATGACAGAACATGCTAATCAATGACTAAAAGATAATAGCACATACGCTATAAATTCACCTAACTATCAAACTAATCATTCAGAAATGTTGTCTACATGTTGTCATTTTTCTTGAGTCTCTCCATCTTTCTGTTTTGAACATAAAAGGCTACAGGTTTTTGAAATTTTCAGTGCATGTCTGTGTGAGGTAATAATAAACATGGCTAGGGACGCACCTTGTTGTGGCTCAGAGGCAGCAACTCATTTGCATTTACATGGGACAGACACAACAATGTGTTTTTGCTCACCCTCAACAACTTTAACATGCTATATAAAAATATCTGTGTGGTATTTTGAGCTAAAACTTCCCATACACACTTTGGGGACATCAGAGATTTATTTTACATCTTGTGAAAAGGGCATTATACCACCCCTTTGTATTAGCTATTGGAATTTAATTATTGTATGAGCAATATTGGAAATAAATTATTCAGCTATATCATGACCATTTGAAAATGTTATTTAAGAAATTTGGTAGTTAAAAGATACTGGCTTGGATTCACTAATAATTGCCTGGATTTTTCATATTTATACGTACAGCAGGATTTATACGTACAGCAGGACTTACATTTAGTTTGTGACATAAAATAGTCGATTTCAAACCCATTTTTTGATTCACTGCAGTGTTGCGGAGAAAATACCCAGCAATACTGTTGACTTAACACATAGATATTAAACAACATAAAAAAACTTGTTTTTTACCAAAGGGGGTCTTTAAGATTAAATATCTATGTAGAAAATGTAATCTTAACTGTAATAGGCCATCCAGAGTATGTCATTTTTACGTGTTTGTAAAACTATACGTAAACTTAGACCCATAAACTTAGAATACATTTCAGTACGAAAATTATTAGTGAATGTATATATATTTTTTTTCCTTAAGAACATTTGTACACTGGTTTCACACACAAATATGCATGGTTATTGAATAAGACCTAATGTTTTTAATATTATTTGCATAGAGTTTGCACTGAGAAGAGATTGAAAGCATTTTGTTAAGCAGAGTTTTTCCTTCGCTTATTTTGCTTTTCACAGCCATTTGCTGGAGTGCATACACCATTGTCTGGTCTACCAGGGACACCAGGAACAGGTAAATATCATGTAAAATGATTGCTTACTAAACTAAGTTTCCTGCAAAAAAAAAAAAAAAAATAGCTGCTTAGTGCCTTTCTTGTTCTATAGTCTCTAGTTTGTTTAGCCCTGCGGGACTGCAGATGAAAACAACACTTTCCCCAGCTCAAGTAGATCCGTTCTTCACACAAGGAGATGCTCTGTCTTCTGACGACCAGCTAGATGACACCTGGGTCACAGTGTTTGGGTGTGTGGTTTTAATATATATATATATATATATATACTTTTTATTTTATTTTACATTGTTCCCCTCCATAGTACTATTAAGTAATTAATCCTAGCACAAATATGATGTCAGGGCTTATGTCATTGTTGTTGTATACATATTGCATACAATTCTTATTTGTTTGTTTGTACACAGGTTCCCTCCAGCATCTGCTTCATACATCCTTTTACAGTTTGCACAGTATGGAAACATATTAAAACATGTAGTAAGTACAGGCCAGGTTTCCTCATTGCAGTTTGGTTTATATAAGATTTTACAATGTAAACAATGCAGACTGTCTGTAAAAAATGTATATTTCTTTTCATTTACAGATGTCTAATACTGGAAACTGGATGCACGTTCAGTATCAGTCTAAACTACAGGCGCGGAAAGCTCTCAGTAAAGATGGAAAGATATTTGGAGAAGCCATTATGATTGGTGTCAAACCATGTATTGATAAGGTAGAAGCACACAATAATTTCCTCTTGAAAATTAGCAGTGGATAGAAGTGTTCCTGCATGTAATAATGTAAGAGTAATAATGTTAAGTTGTATTTTTTTTTTTCTTTGGCAGAGCGTAATGGAAAACTCAGACAAGGGCAGTTCTTCCAGTTCTGTCTTCACGCCCCCGGTGAAGGCTCGTGGGACCCCCAGTCACCCTGTATCAACTCCCCGATCTGTCATGAGACCCCTCAGTGCGGCTTACAAAGCATCCAGCAGTGACTACCAGGTATAGTTGAACAAACTCATTCATATAAATCTATTTAAAGCAGCTTTTAAGAAAATAAATGCATTTAATGATGCAAGGGTTTTGTGGAAAGAGCATCTCATTTTGGGAGCAAAGGAGTATATTATTCAACTACTCAGAGTAACTCAAATTCTGAGGTGATATTCTTGAAAGAGAGCTTGTTTTCTAAAAGACACTCAGAGACTGCAATGCAGCTATTTGATTTGCTATCTTGCTCATTTTGTTCTTTAAGTTTTAAATTTAAATTGGCATGTAAAATAGTATAATGTGTTTATGTTGTATTTTAGTTGATATTACTCTCTTGCCAAGATCTGATTTCTGAAAGACGCACAGAGATGGTTACTCGGCTATATAATTTACACTATTTTCATGTTTACAAACATTCACATCACACCCTCATTATTGCGTAGTGATTTTAGAGGTTTATGTAGCCTATAATATCTTACTATGCCTTGGTTCACCTGTTATCCAGCAAACATGAGGAGTGCCAAATATTTTATTCTATAATTCGGTAGAAATTGTCGTTTTCAAGCCATTATCCATGCCGTTCCAAATACGATATTTGGCATGGGCACATCCCTGTTTGTAACAGTATAACATGTAACATCTCAGGTCCATAATATATGGATAAATAATATTAACAGCAGCGGTGGCAAGAGTATTGAAAAAGTAAAAGTCAGCAAGTACTTTCCAAAAAATGTAGTGTGAGTGTAAAAAGAAAAAAAAAAACAAGTTGAGTAAAAGTACTCATGAATAGTGGTTACTGAGCTGTGGATTCTACCCACTTATAATAAACACTTTACACTGCTTTTTTAAATGTAGAAAATACTGTAATTGACTTCTCTTTTGCTGTTTTTCAGAAAGAATGAAGAATATCTAGATCCATCAACAGTTTTAATATAGTCTTTTAAAAAATAAATCACTTATAACTGATAAAACGTATCCCAAATGTACTTCCAAATCAACAGGAAAATGCTATTAAAATTATTTTTATTTTAATAGCAAATTAAAAAATGAAAGTAACTTTCAATACACTCATCACCATTTTAAATCATGAATGAAATAATGGACTTAAAATCATTAGTAAGGCCCTTAACACTGAGTGAGGTAGTTGCACATAAATTGTCAATGTTCAGAACAGTACAAGTAATTGAAAAAAAAAAAATTGCTGATTGTATGAAATGGATTAAAAAAAAAAAAAACTGTTTATAAATGATCAGACTGACAGTCCTGTGAAGTACCTCCTTTTTGTTTTGTTCTGTTTTTATAGGTTGTGTCAGATCAACAGACACCAAAAAAGGATGAAAGTTTTGTATCGAAAGCAATGGACTATATGTTTGGATGGTAATCTTTTACTCGCAGGGTCCTGATGAAAAAGCTCTGAGACCACCATCAACCTCTGGTGTGTTGACATTGCTCTAAAAAACTGACATTGGGTTTTTCTGAGCACAATCATTCAGTGAATACAAAAGCACTTTATCTCTATGTTTGCGGACTGTTTGACATTGCATGCTCTTTTGCTGAAGATGGACTCTTGAGAGTTTCACTTGGACTGCTTTCAGCTGCTGGTTTTGGAGTTGGTCCCACAAGTCTGTCCTCAAAATCATACAGATTTAACAACTAAGTGTTCCAGGTCTTAAACATGCCAAAAGAGGGTTCTGCTGGTAATTTAAGGGGCATATCATGTCAAACTCTCACGGGACCCTATTGTACAAATTCTGACATTTTTACTTGACAGTTTGTGGTTATGGTCTGCTTTATTGATCTCATAAAAATATCATTGATTACATTCAGCGTTTTGATACCAAGACCTTATTCTTCGATATGACCACAATTTCATTGGGTTATATACATCTGTTTTTAGGTTATTGTGGGTTTTCATTTACTTTAGCAAATATTTTAATGGGACAGAAAATCTGTCTCCTTTTTTAGAAATGTCTGATTTTGAAAATGCCTTTTCCATTTAATAAACATTGTCTGATTAGAAACTGCAGTTTGTTTTCTTCTATTTTTTTAATGGGGTGATGAACTGAGAAAACAAATTTTCCTTGAGCTTTTGACATCATTGTTTTGTAAACAAGACTGGATTTGCAGACCGATGAAGAGTAAAGAACGGTGCTGTGCCGTCTATATTGGATCTCACAGGAATGGTGCAACACACAGACTCTGGGTCGAACATGTGTGGGCGAATCATTCCGGTTGCCATTTTACAACATTGGACGTTTTCAAAACAATTTCCCCCAAGTGTATCTAACCGTACGTTCACACCGCTGCCGGCGAGAGCGGCAAAATTCACACTCGCCGCCCTGCCAACGGCACCGTGGAAAGATTCATGGACGCTCTGATGCTCTGACGTAGATCGAATGCGTGATCTTTTTTTAAAACTGTATTTAAAGGGGCCGCAAAGCAAACAAGCATGTCGATCGTTATTTTTGCAGAAAATTGATCGATGGAAATAACTTTAAAATTATAGTGACATGTTTTCTAATGAAATAAACAAACTAAAAGCCATATGTGTGTGGTGTGGCTTCTGTGTTCATGGTTCAGTGCTATTATAATTTGCTTTCCCACTGAAAAAGTGTTCTAGCATGAAAATCTTGCCTATAAATAGTGTTGCGTGCCCTCTTATCAAATTGGAATGATCAACCTCCTTTATTTTGCTTGGGAACTAATGTGGTCGGAACCAAAGTTTACAGGACTGCGTTCTCTGGGATTTTCTCAAACGAAGCACTTCTACATTCAGATTGGTTGCCGCTGAACTGCGTCATTACTTTTTTGAAGTTGAACTGATTTCAACTCTCCTCGCCACTCTCGCTGTCCAAGACACGCTGCGCCGCTCTCGCCAGAGCTCACCGCCGGCTCTCATTGAAAATTAATGACTTCTGGCCACTTTGACGCTCTCGCCGGCGGCGGAGTGAATACACAGTAAGGGTGAGTTGAAACTCATTATAATATGCAAAACTGTTATCCACTCACAGCAGTGGGCGTTTACTTCCAAGTCTTCAATGCGTGATGGCCATAAAAACCGAGCGTTTTTCAGCTAGGCAAACTGATCTCATGAAGTAGCGTGTGTATGACACGCCAATTCGTATTTCCATTTTTGCCGTGCTATCAAGATGCATAATCGCTTTTCAGTGTGTTTATGAACGTGGTTGACCTAACGTTATTACTGTATATATAAATATATGACTTACCTGAACCCCATCCCTAAACCTAACTGTCACTGGGGTTAATGCCATTTATGACTGTTCCCTTATCATCCTAGGAAAAAAAAGATCGCTCCTCAGGTGTAGATGTACATTTTTCTTCGTTTCGCACGAACATTTGACGGCGTGTACAGACACGCGGAATCACTCTGACGTGAATAGCGTAGACATACACAGATATACGTGGATACACGCGGATAGCTCAAAATGCGTAGAGACAACAGGCCGCTTGACTCGAAAATGGCGTGTATGTTTACGCAAAAGTCATGATGTCATGTTGCAAAACTAGGGTACAAAATAGCCTATAACTTATTCATTTTGATGTTTTTGAATGCAAAAACCAAGCGAACGTCATAAGTTGACCTCAGACAACAATATAATAAAATTTAAAAAGCCAGTTCATGACCCCTTTAAATGTGCACTTGGTAACTCTTTTTTATGGTATAAGTGCAGTCCATTCATCTCATCATGTAGAGAAAAAGTTGCTCTGGCTTATTTGATGCGTGTATGGTGTGGGGAGTGCGAGCGTGAAAGGTTGACATGATGGATCACGATAAACCTCCAAATTTCGAGGAATCACCTGTTTTAAAATCACCACTGGTTTGGCTTTTTTAAGTACAGATTTTGGAAAAGTTGTAAAAGTGAGACGGGGATGGCATTATTTTACTTAACCGATGAGTAATGTATTTTATTGAGCAGATAAATTGCCATTTGTAGCTCTCTAACAGAGTTCATTGTAAAACATTATCTACCGTAAAGGGTAATATTCTTCCACAGTCGCACAGAGCTGAAGCTCAACCAAAGCAAAATGCATTTTAAAATGCAAACGTGCCACGATTTTGATGACTTAAGACTGGGCAAGTATTAGAATACCTTTTCATGCTCTTCATGTGGATTGATGCAGTGGGTTTGGGATGAAGCATTTTAAAGTGTGACATCCTTTTTCTTTTTCTTTTTTTTGCCTTCGGCACACCTGTGCAATATCATGCTAAAACCAATGAAGCTGCAGCATTTACTTCAACATAAAAATTAATTAAAATTAATTTGATATGGAGTGGGATGTGCTAATGAGAACAAATCGACATGGGTTGCTTTCATTCCTTAAACCCATTCACAGTTCAGCATATTTATTGAATTATCGATTTTGTGTGTACTTGCCTCATTTGTACAATATTCTTTTTTTCCCCTCAAATGTGTCATGTGTAATGAAATCCAATATGTAATTTGTGGCTGCTAGCAAGATTGTAACTTGAACCAGATTTTCCATTATTTCTTGAGATTTGATCGGAGACTCAAAGGTTAAGACTTGTAGATAAAAGCATTTTTTCTGCACTGGACTCTTTCAGTGATCCTCCAGATGACCTTGAGACTTGTTTGAGGTGTATGAACCTAGCTCTGATCAGGCTGGGTAGCCAGCTGGATGCCCACATCAGACACATGGCTGAGTGCTTGCTGAAGGTGACACAGTGCGGGTCTCTGGAGGTGAGGCTGACCCTTGCTGTCAGTGCCCAGCTCAGGTGATGCACTCAGATGCACGCTACCCTTGGGCCTGCTTGAGATATTAATCCATCCTGATTACTGCTGTTTTTACACCGGAGGCATGATTCAACTAACCTTGAAACAGGCTTATTTTTTGTGGCTCATGAATAAATGAGGTAAATTCTAGTGGTTGGTAAACTGTTGAAGCATTCAGGGTTTTATTGACCTCACAAGACATCAGGGGCCGATGCAAGTTTAAGATTTCATTTCTCAGTGTCAATGTTTCCTGAGTAATAATAACTGCAAGTTGTATAGATTCTCTCTTTTACACTGAAATGTTATTGCATGAACGATTTTACCTTAGAAATCTCAAGTAAATTTCACAAGAAAGTGCACAATTCTGAAGGGACAAAATTAGTTTTATTTTAAAACACTCAGTAACATTGAAAACTCATTTTTTATTTAAGTTAAGTATTTTAAAAATTAATGTTACCTACTGAAATTTTCCAATTTTAGCAACTAAAAAAAAAGAACACATAATTTTTTTTAACAAAAAACATTAATGAACACATTGTTTTTTGTTTTGGATCCACTGCAATGCAAGAAAGCAGCCACACTTTTCATTCATTTTACAGTTCAAACCTGTGCTGAATTCAGATGAGATGGGATGTTGACCACTAGATGGCAGTGTGCTCATTTACTGCTTTTTGAAAGCAGAAGTAACTTTCTTGTAGCGCCTTTATTTGGGTTTGAACCTTAAGAGATGCACGTTTCATTCTGATGTTTTAAATCCAAATTGTAAACTAAAGTTCAGTGATAAGAAGTATATGATTATCATTGACTAATTTTTTGGAGACTTTATTTTTTCTCCATTTTATATGAGATTGTTTGGGGGGGGAAAAAATCTGAAATGAAGATAGCCTATTGTTGACATGTCCAGGCTTTTGGAGTTGAATTGGACAAGTTATTGTTTGTGCTTAAAGATAGATGCTGCAAATATGAACTCTTGAAAAGTGCTTGATGCATGCAGTTTGTGGGCATTATTATAGAGCATCCAGTGCTATTTTAAGTGTGATCAGTTGTTATAGGTAAAAGATGACTCTGTAAAATGCAGCCTAATTCAAAACACATCAGGATGCAGGTCCTCTTAGTCACTGTGTAATCGTGTATTAAAGAGATCAGGATGGAATTAAATGAGACCTTGGCTGTGCAACAGGATTTATGCAGGTCCTATTAGACTTATTCATTTCTAGTTTTAATTAAATTCTGGAAATGCAGCACTGCAGAAAAGTAACCTGTTATTGGATAATCTGGGTGTGTAGGCTCTCAGGGCAGGGTGCATATCAATAACGCCTCCAGTGAAAAGGCCACAGCATTATGGACTATTTAATGAGAGGATGTGAATTAACTCAGAGTCGGATGGGGAAAGAGGAGAGCCACCTTGCAATGAAATGCTTCTTTATTTGGCACACAATGGAATAAGGGCCGGAAAAATCAATGATGATATCTCCCGATTACAATCATCAAGGTTTACTTCTCTTTCAGAATGATTCCTATCAATTCCCTTAAGAGCAACAGCCTGTGTGAAGGATCAATACCATACTGGTGCTGTGGTTTTACCTAATGCGTGCAAGCCCTGGGCGTTTGGTGTCTGTGTGTGTGCGTGTATGAGTGAATGCATGCAAAGGCTCTTCTGCCACATTAGAATAGCCTTGCTTTCATTTGCCTCTAAAGGAGATCAGAATGAGGGGCTTTCATGTGCAGCATTCTCATTCCAGATCACATTCAGACATGATCTAATTATTCTTCAAGAGTTTCTCTGTGATTGTTGATGATGGTAATGAGGACTCCCTCCTCATCTTCTCATGTGGAGAGGGAGTGAGGGATAAGAACAGAGCAAAAAGTCTGTCTTAATATGTTTTCTAGTAAAAAAAAAAAATGTCTGAAGATACATTTACTTTTGAATCAAAATTTTATAAGATGACAATATAAAAACAAAACATCGTCCACATGTTAACACTTTATTTTACGGCGTGATACAGTGTAATTATTTAATTAATTACTTAGTAGTATAATAAGATTTAACAAACTAAGTTATGGAACAACCATACTTCCAGATTGTAATTACACTCATGTAATAGGCAGCTACTGTTACACGTGTAACAGGCCGAGTCGGTTACATATATGTTACCGACTTGGTGCAATGTAATTATATAAGAAAGTACTTTGTACTACTCAATGTAACTTAAAACTTATTGTAAGTACTTAAATATGTTGTTATGACCTTATAACCTTCAGTTACA